GCTTCCATTCTTTCCCCCATAATTTCTACCTTCTTCAGTAGCTGTTCATATAAATCCTCTTCAGTGTGTTTCTTCTTGTTCCCTGTCTCTGAGGTATTCACTTTGTTTTTGGCTTCCATTCTTTCCTACATTATCTGTCCGTTCCTCTGCAGATTTTTATATGACTACACATAATAGAGTTCTCCCTGTCTCTGGTGTGTTCATTGGGTCTGCAATATGCTCTACTTTTTTAGGAGAGGACTTTGGTTTTGTTTTTGTCATTGTTGTTCATAGTGTTTGAAGCATCTTGCTTGATGTAATATGAAGTTTTTCTTGGTATGTGTTAGGCTTTATCTGTTGTGCATATATAGGCTCTTAACAGTTGTTTATATTTATTATGTTATTGATTTGTTGGAGACTTAAAGTGCTCCCTTTACGTGAGAGGGTAACTCTATGCTAAGAGAAAGTGAGAGTATCAAACTTACGTAAATACTGCTGTTGTTGTTGTTATTGTTGTGTAGAGTCAAATCAGAACCACCCTCTAGCTTACCCTTGAGCAGGTGTTCAGAGGCAGTAAATCACATGAGAGGATATTGCCCATTCTACTCACATGGAGCAGCTGGAGGATTCGAGCTATGTGTCTTCAAAACTGTTGTTGTTATGTGTTGTCAAGTCACTTGTGATTCGTAACAACCCTCTGTACAACAGCTCTGACCCACCTTACCCTCCAGCAGGTGTTCAGAGGCAGTCAATCACATGAGAGGATATTGTCCATCCTACTCTCATGGAACAGCTGGTGGATTTAAACTGCATGCCTTCAAGATTGCTGTTGTTATGTGTTTTCAAGTCACTTGTGATTCATAGCCACCCTATGTACAATAGCTCTGGCCTCTGCTCTATCCTGAGCCAATCTTACTGTCTCTGACACACCTACCCCACATTACTCTAGTCACTGAGCCAATCCATCTCACTGAGGGTTCTTCCCCTCCTGAGCTGTTCCTCCAACCTCCCAAGAATAATGTACCTCTTCAAGGACTGGTCCCACCTAGCAATATCCCCAAAGTATGTCAGATGGACCTTCAGAATCCTTGTCTCCAGGAAGCAGCCTGGTCTCACCTTCTTAAGGATGAACTTGTTTGTTCTCCTAGCACTCCATGGAATATTCAATACTCTTCTCCAGCACCATAGCTCAAAGTCATCACTTCTCCTTCTGTCATCCCTTGTCATTTCCCAGCTTTCTGATGCATAGCAAGCAATTGCAAAGATTATGGTCTGGATCAGGTTCACGTTGGTCTCCACAGACTGACATTGTTGTCCTGGCTATGTCCTTGACAGCAGACTTTCCCAATGCAATTTATCTTTTGATTTCCTGGTTGCTGGTACCAAGAGTGTTGATTGTGAAGCCAATCAAACTAACTCAATCTTTTCACCGTCAATCATGATGCTGCTAATTGGCCCAGTGGTGAAAATCTTAGTTTTTTTAAGTTGAGCTACAATCCATATTGAGGGCTACAGTCCTTAATCCTTTGCTGTATTTCAGATGCACCTCAGTTTCAACAAGCAAGGTGTATCATATGTATAACACATATTGTTGATGAGTCTTCCTCCAATCCTGATGCCACATTCTTCCTCATAGAGACCAGCCTCCCAGATAATCTGTTCTGCATATAGGTCGAACAGGTATGGAGGTAGGACACATCCTTGTAATACACCCTTTCCAATATTACACCATGTAGTGTTTTCATTGCTCTTTTCAGACGACTCTCTCAGTCCAAGTATAGGTTTCACATAAAAACAATTAAATGTTCTGGATTCCCATTCTTCTGAGAGTTAACCACGGTTTGTTTTGAACCACACAATTAATTGCCTTTGACTAGTAAATGAAACACATAGAGACATTCCTCTGGCACTCTGCTTTCAGCCCGGATCCGTCTAACATTACCACCACCTTTTCTAAATACAGCCTGCACATCTGGCAGTTCTCTATTGATGTGTTTTTCCAGTCATTTTTGGATAATTTTCAGCAGAATCTTGTTTGCATGTGATATTGATATTCTTTGATAATTTCTGCACTCTGTCACGTCACCTTTCTTTTGAATGGGAGTAAATTTAGATTCCTTCCAGTCAGTTGGCCAAGTGATTCTCCTCCAGATTTCTTGGCAGTACCTGGACAACACATCCAGAATAGCATCTATCTGTTGAAGTAAGTCATTTGGTATGCAATGAATTCCTGGGGCCTTTTTTCTTTGCCAATTTCTTCAGAGCACCTTGAATTTCTTCCTTCATGACCACAGGCTCTTGCTCATACATTATTCATTAAATTCTTCTGTGTCAGCCAATACCTTTGAGATTTTAGCACAACTTAGTACCACTAGGACACCACAGCTGCCTGATGTTAATGGTTATGATTCAGTACACTGTACATTAATCAATCCAATCAAATCCAAAAGCATAAGCATTTCAGTTTTTTATATGTGTGTGTCCAATCTACAGTCACCACTCTTGGTAACTGCAGTCAGGAAGTCAAAAGCCAAATTTTACTGGGAAAATCTGCTGTTAGGATCCTCTCCAGAGAACTTTGGAGCAATGATGTCATTCTAGAGACTAAGGTGTACCTAGTCCAGGATAGTATCTTCACAATTTCTTGCTATATATCAGAGACCTGGAAAATGACTAAGGATGACAGATGATACCTTTAAGTTGTGGTCTTGGTGAAGAGTCTTGAACATACCATGGACCACAAAGAAAACAAGGAGAGGATGAATCAGAGTTTCTACTTGGAGGCTAGGATTTTGAAGTTCCATCTCACATATGTTGAGTTTGTGGTCAATGGAGAAGGACAAGATGCTGAGAAGGGTGGAGAGACAGTGCAGGAGAAGAAGACTCTGAATGAGACGGAGTGATAAAGTAACTGAGACGATTGGGGTAGGTGTTGTTGGAGTCAGTGAGACTGTTTAAGAACAGGGCAGACAAATATTGCACATAGGGTCACTATGAGTCTCAAATGATTCAATTGTACATAGCAACAACAACAATACATATTATTCTCTATATATTTGTTTCAGTATTTCCTGATTATTTTATTTCATTTAAAAAATAAGTATTTACTTCACTTGAAATAGAAATATTTCTTAGTGCAAAAATTATTCATTATACTGTTTGAAAATTCATTCCTAAATTTTTTAATGCAGTCATTAAAATAACATAATGCACATGCAGTAATGCCTGATATCCATTCTACTTAAAAATTACTAACTTCATTTCATGAAATTATAACACTTTTATACATTTACAAGAATACTATTTGAAAAGAAACATTTAATCTTTCATGTATTCTAGGCATGAATAAGAAAAAGATTAGTTTTTTTTTATATTGTACAATGGTAATAATTTAAAATAAAACCAACCATGTGTGATAGAATGCCTGTTGTCAATTATGAGCAGACATCCAATCTACTCTAATATAGAGAGATGTTACTGAAGATGAAACCTTAATAAATAATCAATACCATTTGATTTGAGAAGAGTAAAATGTTAAGGTGTTAGTTATACACATGTAAATATCAGAAATTAGGGCTGGGAAGACATTTTTAGGAAATGTAACACAAATAGAAGATCATAAAGTAATTGGTATGTATGTATAGAGTGTAATTAAAAGGGCAAAGGAAGGAGATTATCAGGGTCTTTAAATTGAGTTTATAGAGTGTTTCCCGTTGTTCAAGCAATTATAAGTCTATTCGTTATAATATTCATTCCAAGTAAAGATTTCTGTAACCATATAAGTAAATCAATAATTTTTCCTTTTGCTCTTTTTTTGAGGAAAGAGGGTAATATTATCCCCTTTTTCTAAAAGTAGTTTAGAGAAATAAATTTTCTTAATGTAACTCAGAACTCTTAAATACTATATTCTTGTTTAATATATTTGAACTAGGAAATAATATTACAATCTTTTTTGATGCAGGGAAAAAGTCTATTTCTTCAGGATTGAAAATTATTTTAAACAGAGCTAAAATGAATGTTAGAATTGTAACATATATGCAATGACCCAGATAGGACAGGACCGAGAACAACCTCAGAGCAGCATTAAAGGAATGGAGATAGGTATACAGGTTGCTAAGGTATTTAACAGAATTAAAGACTGCTTTTATTGGACTTGCAAGTAAAGGATGGTTCAAAGGTGAAATCTATATTTCTAATTTTTGCCAGTATTTAAGAAAAGACCATTTAAATAGTGAAATAATTCAAAGATAGATTGAAACATCACAGAAAGAGGTAAAGAGAATTTAAAATTATGATAAAATTTATGATAAAAGATATGGTGAGAATAAGCTAGTTATGAATTAAATGTCAGAATAAAACTTGAATTACAGAACTTTTGATTCAAAGATTAATTCAACAAATTCAAAGTTGCAGTGTGATGTAAGCTAGCAAAATGTTCAGATCTGTCACTCACAGTGCTGCTATGAGCTTTATACAGTTGACTTAATGTTACCTAAAAACAACTAAGATATCAGCTTTTGCCTCTCCTTTATAAATTACGTGACTTTCAAAGGCATAGAAAGCAATTGAGAATGCTTGACATCGGTCAGATTCAGGATGCATGCTAAAATTATTTATAGCTAAGAGATGCATAGCCAATGTATCAAATACTGTTTTAAAACACCTTATATCTTTCAATTTAGTGATTTTCAGTATAATCCATTTACATTAAGATTTTACACAATTTCATAACAATGGGTTATACCTTTTATTCACATTTTTAAGTTTAGATTTTATTATTTTTTGTTTAGAAATAACATGGTAAGACTACTATAGAAATATATTCATTTTATTTTATGATGCATATTTAATTGTTATAGTGTGCCATTAAAATTAAACAGAATTATCACTAAAAATGGAGATCAATATTGAGATCATTTGCACTATAATGTTACATAGAGACAAATGAAATTAGTGTGAATTATTTGTTTCTATAATAACAATGCATACTTACAGACTTCTTGTTTTCTATCTCTCTGAAGCTTCACACTGATCAAGATAAAGGAGACGGAAACTTAAAATATATATTGACAGGAGATGGGGCTGGCAGTTTGTTCATCATAGATGAAAATACTGGAGACATTCATGCTGCAAAGAAATTAGACAGAGAAGAAAAATCCCTGTACATTCTTCGTGCCAAGGCCATAGATAGAAAGACTGGGCGGCAGGTGGAACCTGAATCTGAATTTATCATTAAAATCCATGATATCAATGACAATGAACCAAAATTCACAAAAGACTTATATACTGCCAGTGTTCCTGAAATGTCTGGAGTTGGTAGGTATCCACATATTTTTTTGTTTGCCAAATCTGTTATATGGATAGATGGTAATGATATGTAATCTCTTACAAGTTAAGAGGTATAAATGGAAAACTCACCTTAGTGTTAAACTACTCATTATCAATTATTTTCAGTTTCATGTGCCTTAATACCTTTTGCTGTGTTCTAACTGGTATCTGAGATGATTTAAAAGAATAGTTACTCCATTATACTCAACACTCTTACCTCTAACTGACTGCCTAAAAATAACAATCAAGTTGAGTATACATCAACTTGAAAAGAAAGGAATATGTAAACAGTGTCTGCATGGCCAGGAGATTTTGCTTGCATAATTTTGTGTGATAACTAATGCTTGCATTTGACAAACTTATTTTGAAATACTGTCTCATTTGACTATTAAAACAAATTTACATGATAATCATAGCATATAAAATGTTAAATCACTTTACTGTTAATTAAGAATCCAGGATTCAGAAAGATTAATCAAATGAATTAAGATCAAATAACCTGGTTGCATTAGGACAAGATTTCAGATATTTTTATGTTATTATAGTGCACATTATCTATGGAATACTGACATTTTCTTGTAGACTGAAAATAATTGTTTAAATTTTAAGGCAGCACAAACTTTAGTACTCCACTTATTATGCAGTGTTTTCATCTGTGTCACAAACTTCGTCTCTATGAATTTGATAGATTAAATTTTTTAATAAGAAAATAAAATCTTATTTTTTTAATTAAATGTGTCTATAAAAAAGTGACATTAAGTCTACTGTTGTCAGAGATCTCTCCAAATTACTGAAGAACTACTGTGTCAGTCTGGAGACTAAGGTGCGCCTGATACAGGCCACAGTCTTCACAATTACTTGCTATGCATCAGAAAGCTGGACAATGACTAGGAATGATAAAAGGAGAATTGATGCCTTTGAGCTGTAGTACTGGAATAGAGTATTGAGCATACCATGGACAGTTAGGATAACTAACAAGTTTGTCCTAGAGAGGGTTAAACCAGGCTGCTCCTTGGAGGCAAGGATTCTGAAACTTCGTCTGGCATACTTTGGACATGTTATAAGGTGGAACCAGTCCTTGGAGAGGGACGTTATGCTTGCGAGAGTGGAGGGATAGTGCAAGAGAGGAAGACCTTGGATGAGATGGATTGAGTCAGTGACTGAGGTAATGGGTAATGGGGGTAAGTGTGTCAGAGACAGTAAGATTGGCACAGGATAGAGCAGGGTTTAGGGCTGTTGTACATAGGATCGCTATGAGTCGCAGGTAACTTAATGGCACTTAACAACAACAGAACATTTACTAAAAGGAGCTCAGATGGCTTAATGGTAAAGACTTGTACTAACAAATCAAAAGTTTACAGTTTGAATTCACCAGCTGCTCTCGTCTGATTTACTTCCTCTCATCTGATTCACTTCCGCTGAAAACCTACTGGAGGTACAGCTACCAGCAGGTTCTGAATTGACCATATACTTCAACAATAAATCCTATCCATAAAAACCCTGGTAACACAGTGGTTAAGTGATCTGTTAACCTGAAGGCCTATGGTTCAAAACCAAGCTACTTGGAGGGGAAAAGATGTAGCAATCTGATTCTATACATATTGCAGTCTTGGAACCATAGGAGACTTTTCTATTCTCCTCAAGACGGTTGCTATTTATCAAACAGAACACAAAAAGACACAAAACCAGCAACATAATACTAAATACATAAAGTGTTTCCTAAATCTGGTATCATTTAGTTTTGTTGTTGGGTGCCATTATGTCAACTAAGACTTTTGGGGATTTATGTACACTAGATCTGAACCTGCACCATCCTCCCGACCTCTGTGTTGGTCCAGGTCACTGCACTTGCAGTTGTAATGTGTAATAGGTTCAGCACAGGCTCTTAACTGATAGTCCAGCACGTTTTCAAAGGTTCTAAATCACACAGGAGGAGACTGCCCATCTTTTCCCCTCAGAACAGCTGATAAAGTTGAAACACAAGCTTTTTGTAGATTAACAGTCCATCTCTTCACCACAAGGTCACCAGAGCTTCCTGGAAACACAATTGAGGATATATTTCAACAGTATTATTATTAATGTTTCAATATAAGATTATACTTCTAATAGGAGAATCAAACTCGTATATACCTTTATTGAATTTTTAATGTAAATTTTTAATGTAATGTAAAGAGTGTGTGATGTCAAGCCTGAAAAACTGACACCATGTTCTTCCTTCTAAACCCTAGATTTAACCTACCTTATCTGTTTGAGAAAAATCATACTTTTACTATTGTTTTCTGTAACAAGCCCACCATTGTGAAAGTGATTTATCAAAGCAGACACAGGTCCTATGGAATTATAAAGCCTTAGACTAAAATAAGAATGAATCAACTGTCCTTTTCCTTCCTTCCTTCCTTCCTTCCTTCCTTCCTTCCTTCCTTCCATTTCCTTCCTTCTCCCCCTTTCTGTTTATAAATCAACTAT